GGAAAGAGTCGTGCAAGGAGTATATAAAGAACTTCTTGGCCTCGATTCCGATAAGGGAACTTCAGGAGGATATCAAGAAAGGGATAATCTCGACGACGCCTCTTCATCATCGGCTACAGATAGAGTTTCATTATACTACTCTGGTTATCGAGCAACGACTCGAGGCTTCTTCTCGGGTCATCGAGCAACGACATGAAGTTACTTCTACTGCGGTGTCTGATGAAGTTACGATGTAAAATTGTAACCTAACCGTGAAGTAGTCAGTGTCTTTAACTTTGTTCAGTTTCATAGTCTTTTTGTAGCTTTACTTGAGATGGTGTGAATGAAGAAATTTGATCGGGAAGTTAACGTCTGTGAGCAACTTTTGTCACTTTGGTTGGATCGATCATCATTGTCATCTATTCAGGCCATCGGTGTCTGAACCCGAGGTACTCACGGGTATTTGGTCCGGTGCGCGGTGTTGGAGAATCTAAGTTACGGGTTCAAGTGTAGGTTTCGTCAGTTGATTACCCATATCTCCGTCTCGTCTCACAGTTCGCTCCTTGGCACATCTCTCTCGCATTCTTGGCTCGCCCTCCACGTCCCCCTCGCCATCGGCCAGCCGCCTCACTCTCTAGTTTCGCCTACACCTCACGAAGTCAAGATCGAACATACCGAAAAACTCGGATACCCGATCCATGACTACACCCCTACAATGCCCACCGCTCCACAATGGAGAGTGTTCTTGAAATTCTGTCAACAGCAGATCCTTCTTAGAGCAAACCAACACAAAATCCCTTTTTCAAGAACAAAAAAAAAACAGACACAAGTCGTCTAGTTCGAACAATAACACAAAAGTAGACATCTTTTGTTCGGTTTTATTCAATCCATAACCCCCACAAACAAAAAGACTTTCTGGACTTGGGAGGATGAATCACTGTGACAACTGATCCCAGACTTTGAAGATGAGCCAACCTTCAATGGCTGCAGCCTCAAGATGCTCATTAGAACCCGTCTCGTCCCACCTAGACTCTATCGAATCCAGCCTGCTCATGTCATACCACAGAACCCTCTGCGCCAAATCTCGGGTCCCGAGGAATTCAAGAACGGGTGTCCCTCGGGCTTTCGCGGCGAATTTCCCCAGCTCCATGGCGCTTCTCATCACAATCCCATGATTCCCTCTGAGCAAGGCGAGGTCTTCCTCGATCTGAACCCCGACAAATGTTACAAACTTGGAAGTGAAGAATCTGTACAGATCCTTGAGGTTGTCCTGAAATGGGTTTGGTAGCTTGAGCAAGAGACATAGCTTTCTCGTACTGAGCTTCACTGCGGATAGATGCCATTTCGTAGCAGCGTTCTTGTTGTCGTTGGATGTGTCGAGATTCTCGATATCCCAATACAGATCGAAGATGACAGCCCGTTTTCCGTTCTGGATGGAATCTTCTCGTATACGGGAAAGGTAAGGGGAAAGATCGGTCGATGGATCGACGTCAATGGCCTTCGTCTGCACGTAGGAGCCATCACTCATCCGGAAACTCGGCCCGTCAAAGGAAGCCATCGATGTTCCAAAGCTAAGAAAGTATACAGTTAGAGATAGAGAATGTTATGAAAATAGGATCCTAAACAAAATGCCCAAATAACCAAACTTGAAAAGGGGAAGAATCTAAATCCATCAAAGATGAAAGTGACTAATCATTGTGAGAGAGAAAGTTCTTGACCCCCAAGCATCTTCATGTTTCATGGTGATCTCTACAAGTATGCATAAATATCTGGACAGAGATCATCAGAACTAAAGTATGGTCGGAGAGCTAGTCGGGGTTTCCCGGTTAGGGTTAGCTTCAAAATTCAACAGATGCCGAGACGGACATAGATCCTTTCGAATACAACAAGTCAAAGTTTGGTTCTTGTAAAACACCCCACAGGAGAGATTATTAAGCCCATTTTTCCGATATGGTCTCTGTTCATGGATCCCCACGGGAAAAAAAACGAGAAAGGAAAGAAAGCGAAATCTCCCCCATTATTCATCTGATTATTACATGATAAGACAAGAGATCACGGGGACTAAGAATTGAAGGAAGTAAATTGAGAAGATGAGAAATGATTAAACCAGGAAAAAAAAAGTGACGGAAAGATTCAGAGGCAAAAGGAAGAAGCCGATACCTGAAATCGCGGATGCGCGGGGGAGAGGCCGAGAGAGTAGAGGGAGACAGGAACTTGTCGTGTGTTAGTGTTATGGTCGGAGAGAGAGAGAGAGAGACTATAAGGTCATATCGATTCTGTGGTTCGAGCACAACACGACATTGTATTTGTACGGTTGTACCGTAGGAATGTACGCCAATAATGGATTCAATATCCCTGTAATTTTTTTTTCGTACATCGCATCATCATACTCCAACAGAATCAATTGATATATATATATATATATATAAACGAAATTAATCGAATTTAAATTGATTGCATATAAAGAGGACTACGAAACTATTCGAGATTAAATTTAAGATTTCTTTAAAACCTATAAAATCCATATTTAAAAATAACCAGTAAAATATAAGCTAAAAAGATATGACACAACGGATTTGGTGGAACATTTTCATTTTGCACCCCGAGCGATTATAACCAACAAAATGGTTTAGTATTTTCCTCCCCTTTTTTCCACTCCAAACCAAAAGCCTCAAAGTATAACTATCTCTCACGCAACATACAGAGAGATTTAACGGTAAATTTCCTCAGCCGAAGTAAACAGACACCAGAGGGATATCCACGTCGTTATCGTCGTCGTCCTCGCAAGCCACCACGACGTCTAAATGCCGTCGGTAAGTCAGGATCTCGACCTTAGCGACATCCCGAGCGAGATCCGCTACTTTCCTCTCCATCCTCTCCTTGTGCCTCGGAAACATGCTGTTAAAGAGCAGCGAGCTCCCGCACGATATGCTATACGCGTTTAGCCCTTTCTCCTGCAGCCACCCGAGAAGTTCCCGCAGCGTCGGGTCACCCCGAACGACCCATCGATCCCACACCGTCCAGCTCTGGTCACGGTGATTGATCACTTTCGGCGGAACTGGCTCCGCTATCGAGAATAGCGGTAGGGCAAGGTTCGCAAATGTGTTTCGGTAGTCTTCCAGTTTGTGTGATCCATCTAAGACCTTGTAGAGCTCGAGGCAGACGAGTCCCGTCGCCATGGCGGTCGAGGTCGCAATCGCGGGTATGATCCTTCCCGCAATGAATTTTGCTTTCAGCTTGTCCACCTCGGGAATACTGTAGTTCCTCGCTCTCATGTTCGCTAGCCCCGATATCATGTCCATGTGGTAGTTCGTATCATCATCCTGAACACCGTCGAATTACGAATCCAAAGTTAAATTCTATTTAAATTTAGAAGAAGTTAAGAAACCATTGTTGACTAACCTTTTCGAATTGAATCGGTTTCATCCTGAATTCTGGAGACAAGCTCTGCCTGCACTGCTCGAGTTTCCCGATCATCTCGTCGATTACTGCTGCATCATCTACCGAAGCTGTAGATAACGTTGTAGCCTTCTCATCCGTCACAATCTTTGCATCTTTCTTCGGCTCAAAATCGGGCACTATCACATTGTCCACGGCCTCCGCCAGTTCCTTCGGGTTCTTGACCAAGTCGGGGGTCGGAATCCCAAATGTCTCGGCGCGTAAAATAGCAGCAGCTGCGACGAAACTAAGATGGCTGGCGTCGGAAGAAGAGAACTGGAGTGGGCGAGGGAACCTCTTTGGGGCAGACCAGAAGGGAGCCCCTGTACTAGTGGCGGCGTCTTCGGGAAATGTATAGATTAGTTGCTTCACACGATTGACAAAGTAATCCTCGAACCTGGTAACCGAAGAAACGAGTTAGAGAACGACTCGACGAACACTACTTAATCAAAAGGGCTATGAGAAGAGCATTTATTTACCTGAGACGAGCCCAGGTTAAGCAGTCTTGGAAGGAATCACACTTTTCTCTCTCGAGGCACTCGAGGACACGTCCCAATGTATCCCGAGCTTGAGCATCACCCGCACTCCGCATCGAATTCGTGTATTCAGCTGGGTTCGAGAGGTAGGCATTAACTTCAGCGGGAGTTTTCTCGAGTAGACCCTCGAATTCGGACCGAGCCCATGTCAAGCAATGGTCAATGTTGTGCGGGAACGAGTGTACCGTGCACATAGGGGCCTGTTTCTCGGGAGGATCTCTCGAGGCGCCGTAGTTTTCGGTTAGGTGAGGGATAACCATCTGCGTGTTGCACTTCGCGCCGAGGGTTCCCGACTCGAGAAGGGGTTTCTGGAAATACACACACCTCGAATCAACGTAAAGCCTTGCGTTGACATTATCGAGGGCGTTAACCACAACCGTCAGATTCTCCCAGAAGCCATCATCGAAGACATTCTCGGTCTCGGGGCCGACACGATTCTGCAGAGCCTCGATGTTGAGGCGAGGATTGATGGAAACCGCAGCTGTAGATGCGACTGTGGATTTCGCCTGTCCGATGTTCCAGTCTCGGAAGAGAAACTGACGACTGAGGTTGCTCTTCTCGATGACGTCATCGTCAGTGACCGTAAGTTTCCCTTGACTGCCGCATGAAACACCCATCAAAGCCAAGTTTTTTAAGAACTCGCATCCGAGAGCACCAGCTCCGACGACGAAAAGTTTTGCATCTTCGAGTTTCTTTTGGAGCGTGGATCCGAAAACAGAGATCTGGGCATCGTAGCGGCAATTCTGGGGTCGAAATTCGATTGCATCAAGGGGTTCCATAGGGAGTGATTCCACCGAATCAAAGTAAAAGAACTGCAAAAAACAAGCAATTCGGTATGATGTCACCGAGTAAAGATGATATATACAGTTCAACAAGCTGAAGTTACACATGCGATGCGATCACTGAAAAGGGTTATTACCTGGAAGAGTGGATGAAATTTCCCAGAGCAAGCTTTCACAACTTCTTGACCAACAATGCCACCAAACATGGCAGCCATTGGATTCAGGACAGCCTTAGCTCCAAATGCAAAGGCTCGTAATAGTTTCGGGTTAACATCCTCCAACCGGGCATCACCCAAACTCTCGTTAATGTCAATTGCTATTGCTATAAGTTTCTGAGCATCCTCTTCCGACCCGGCAACTGGAAACCTGCCTGATTCAGACAAAAACGTATCGAGTGCCTGGAAAGCTAAGTGCAGAAGCGGTGGCCTATCGAACTTCGAGAAATCGCTTAAAAGAAAATCGCCCGGATCTTTCAGTGCTTGTCTAAGTGGCTTAAAATGCAACACCTTCGGTTGTTTCACCTGAGTAACAATACCACCCTTGACATATGACCCATAGCTAGTTGTGTCTTCCTCAATGGTAAATGAGTACGGCTTCACGTTTTTCACCTTCCTTGGATTCCCGTCATTCAGTTCCGTCATTCCCTCAACCTCGGAGAAAACTACGAGATCGCCATCCTGAAACTCAACCCTCTCGTCATCAACACACGAAACAAATGCAGGGTTTTCATTGCTGATGGATGCGATGATTCCTGTGTGGGGTTCCTCTCCATCAACATCGAGAACAGTAAACTCAGGTCCGAAATCACAAAATACAGACCCGAAAAGGCCCCTCACATCAGCCTTGATGAAGGCAATAGGAGGCTGATGACTGTGACAGTAGTCATCAAATTCAATTGCTTTCTCAAAACTGATATCTGTGAATACAACAGCCTGCATCCACAAGAAAAATACAGTGGGTCACATTTGAGAAAATGCCTCCATCCCAGTATCCTCTACATAGAGAAATTCCAACAGATAAACAAACCACCCACCAGATATCTAATATGAATCAGTTTATTTGGCAAACAAGGTATTGCACAAGGAAATTCTATCTAAAACATGAGATGGCTAGAAAAAACGAGAAATAGCCAAATAGATGTAATGGATTGAAAACCTGGAATCCGGAAAGCTGCCCTTTGGTTAACTTTGCAGTCAAAGTTGAGACAGCCACGGCATTGTTGAGTTCCTGCAACTTCTGAACAGAAGCAAGAGCCCTGTTCTTACCAACATCATCTTCCGAGAAGACAAAGTTACTTGACAAGTCCCACAGCTCAACCACTCCTTCATCATGAAGGGTCACCGACTTCACACCAGCGAGAATAATATTCTTGGCTATAATATGAAGAAAGATCTTAAATCAATAACAAGGAAACAGAAGAAGAGAAAAAAAAAACTCATTTTGAAAATAGCAACAAGAGCATAAACCCTCCATGCATATTAAGCCTCGCTAACTCCTTCAATGGAATTATAGATACTACACTTGAAGTGCCAAAAATTGCAGGAGAATATATCTAACAAATCGAGCAAATCAACCAAGAAATGCATTAAGAAACCCATGTTTATACAAAATCATAAAACATCAATGACCAATCATTCAACACAACCAACAAACAAGAACACAAGTTACATGCAGGGCAATAAGGAACACGATCACTAGCTGAAACCAATGAGATGAACAAACAAGGCACAGAGAAATGGAAGAAGAAAAAACATATTACCAATCTCCACACCGAGTCCCTGCAATCCCGAGATGAGTACGTTGGAAGCGAAAAGTCGCCTCATCGTCTCACGCCCATAAACCGCAAGCTGCCTACTGTGCAGATCCTCATCGATCTCCTGATGGTTCGAGTTACCAAGAGCCATGTCCAACCGCGTCTCCCCAACGCTACCGCCACTACCGTCGGTGTTGTTTAGGCCGACCCCGCCGCGGTTACAGGCGCGACCCGCGGATCCATCGGCGTGATCGATCCGTCGCTTCTTCTTCGGCGAAGACGAAGTAGGAGCGAGCGCGTTGCCGACGTCGCTGTTCTCCTTTACAACCAACGGTTCCATACAGTAACTGAAGAGAATATGTTCAAAGTAAACAGGAGAAACTCGAATGAAAAAAGCCAAAAAAAAAAAAGAAGAAAAACCCGATGGATAAACCCTAAACCTAAACCATGTGAATGAATCTTCGGACGCCATGGAAAGCGAAGAACACACATACCTCTGAACACACCGACGGAGATAAGAAATGGATATCGGAGCTCGAGAGAGAGAGAGAGAGAGATGGATGTGGCGAATTCGCAAGCGTAGAGAGAGCCTTTGTCTGAGCAGAAGCGGCGGAGAGGAGTGAGGGAAGGGAAAATGCTTGTGGTAAAGTTTTTTTTATATGTTTTTTTTTTTCAAAACTCTCTGTTGCAAATGTTTCTGCCGATGGAGATGAGAATGGTTGGGTTGAACATAATAGCGTTGGGCCGAAACAAGACCCATTTGTGTATCAATGAATTATTTACACAAATTACATTAAATAACATTTAACATTTATTTTTTTATGCATGGAGAAAATGTTAACAATAACGATAATGCCTCTCTTGCCTTTACATTGCCATGAAACGTGCGATGATGTAAGTTCATCTAATTTCTTGAACTCATATCCCAACTTCAATGAACATTCTTAGCTGATTTTACTAAATAAATAAATAAACTAACGACCGGTTTTTTTTCTTAAATGTATTTTTTTTTGTTACCTTCTTCTTAAAAATTAATTATACTCATATATATATAATATACAATCGGCTGGAGTATATTACCCATTAACAACCGTATGATTGTCAGACTTTAGTTACATGTTATTACAACAATATAACGCTTTCCCCACGTTTTAATACAATTCTTCAGTGTAAATTCCTTTGGTGAAAAAATAAATAAGTAAAACTTTATACCTTTCAGGAAAAAAAATGTAAATGTAAATAATAAGAACAGGAAGAGAAAAGAAGTTATATCTCACTCCTCGGTTACTTCGGGGCTCCGTACGTCAACCACGAGGAATAACTCCTGCGACCGGAGACGGTGACGGCGACGGATACGGAGAAGTCCGGCAGACAGGACACGTGGAGCTCAGAAATAGCCAAGGGTCGACACACTTGTCGTGAAAGATATGATTACAGTCGGGTAAAACCCTAATCATGTCTCTGTCGTTGTAATCCGCAAGACATATCGAGCAACACGACGTCGTACTCGCTTCCCGTTTCCGACCGTAACTCTCCCTCGCCTCCTCGTACGGAATCCTGGGCAAGCTCTTAATCGTCTCTTCGTCTAAACCCGACACCACCGTTAGAACATCAGGAGGCTGCTGGTCATCGGAGGGTTGTTCGACGGCTATGATGACGCCACGTGGAGACATCTGGTTGGTCTGTCGCCGTCTGCGGCTCCTCGGCGTGGTCATCGGAGAGGCGGAAAGGTGGTTGCGGGTGCAGTAGTAAGAAGCGAGGGAGATCGTGGTGATGAGGAGGAGGATTCCGATGGAGACTCCGATCCCGTAGGCGAATCCGGCGATATTTCCGGTGTTGATTAGCCATCCCGAGTCCGGCGGCTCCGCCGGCTTCATCGCGGCGGCGGCGGTTTTGGTAATTGGTCGGAGATGTGATGATGGGTTTGCACGTTTTATCGAAGGTTTTTCAAGTCAACGTTTTTAATTAAGCGAGCCCTTTTTATTTTTGGTGATTTGGAGTGGTGTATATGCTGTATATTAAATTTGCTTCCTAATCTGGTGGTTAGTCGTTATTTATATAATGTGGTTCTAAATGTGTGAAGGGTCAACGAGTTTTTTCTCTTTTAAAATAATTTGAAGGGTAATTCGTATTTGCATTTATGACTTTTTTATGTAAATAGTTATAGTTCCACGGTAACAAGATTTAATTACATTATGGCAGAGTATAGTTTGGAAAAAAAAGGAGAAATGAAATGAAATGAAATGCATTCTTATAATTAGGGATGATATTTCGAATACACATATATAAATCTGAAGTTAATAGAAAGATTTTTCGCACGCTTTATTAAAAAAAATATATTTTATTTTGAGTGGGCCTAATGGGCCTCAATGGCCCATAGTAAATAAAACCCGTTGTCGCTAAAGCCGAGAGGAGCGAACAAAAGAGAGAGACGAATTAGGGGTGAATAAAGGGTTCGATTTTTAACGGAATTGAACCGATTTATTAACCGAATCGAATCCAATCAAACAAAATTAAAACCAAATCTAAATTAATCATAACGGAATAACCCAAATTCACTTATTAACCGTTAATACTATATCTAACACAAAAATTAACAAAGTTCTTATAAAGTCCCAAAAGAGTAGGATATATACTCACAAACAGATGTATTTAGGTGTATTTATATGTATATAAAGACCCATATATACATACACACATCATTTCGAGCTTGTTAATTAAATGAAGCATTCGCGTATTAGACAGATGAACGAAAGAAAAAAACAATATAAAAATAAAACTGCGGGAAAAAAAAAACAATATCTCATTTATAAGAACATAACTGAGATGAAGACAGGACAACAACAACTGTTTAAGATGTCGAAGCCCAAACATGTTTTTTTTTTATAAAAAAAAAAAGATCTAAAACGACTTGACAAATGAAATGACAACGACTCCAAAAATGAAATAACCAAAGAGACATAACCAACATAGTTTTAGATATTGATATATATATATGAATATTATAGTCACTGATCAGGTGGATCCTTGTTCGAACCGGAAGGACCGTCCATATCCACATCTCGAGGAACCGATGATGACCCTTCACCAGGCGGCTGCAGCCTCAGGGCCCCACCGGCCGAGCTGCTCTCTCCTCGATTGCGTTGATGGTTCAACCTCAGATCACTTCTGAATGGTGCTCTACTGCTACTTCCTTCTCTTGCAGCAGCACCCATCATTCCGAGTTCATTGCCAGTAAAATTTGAATGGAATGATCGCAAATGGCTCATCATCATGGGTTGAACACGTGAATGACCTCCAATTGAGGGAAGGCCAAGTCCCATGGGAACTAAGCTCGTTTCACCCCTCGGGTTGTCGCTGTTATTGTTCAGATTCATGTTCATTATCCTCTGGTAGGACGGATGATTTGCTAAACGAGACATACCGTTGAAATTTACATTAGAATTCTGCGCAGACATCAGACTCATCTCCAGATTAGGGTTTGTGCTGCTACTGCTGCCGCCGTTTCCTTGGGCCGGAAGAAAGCTCCCAGGTTGCTGTAGAGATATACCCATCTGGATATAGGTCGGATCGTCTTGATAAGTGATCGTTTGCTGTTCAGTCGGAGGAGCGACCGAAAGGGGCAAGGCGACGGTGGATGAACCGGCTGGATGGAAAATCCATTGATCCATCAAGTACTGATTTTGGTCGTCCATAGGGTTAGCACCAACACCATTTCCTTCCCCTCCCGCGGCTGCATCTCTGTTCGCCGGCTGGTTGGGAAGGCCCGGAACGTTACGTAGTGGTGGCTGGTGAATCAACTCACCCCTTTTCCTCAATAACCCGATCTTCTCCCTCGAGTACGAGATCAGGCTATAGACTTCGTTTGTAGATAGATCTGATAATCTTTTATTACCGTTGTTTATCTCGAACATTAGATGATCCATCTCAGCTTCTCGGTTCTTCTTTTGACTCTTGAGCAATTGTTCTTGAGCTTTTCCCGTCTTGTCCCTTAGATAGGACTCTTGATTGGTCGCCTTCTTGCTCCTTTCGATGTCGGGTAACGCGAAATAACGGTCGAGGAGGCCGCGGGCCACCTCGGGATTCGGCCAGACCAGCGGGGCGGCCTCGTCAGCGCTGAAAATGATCAGACAAGCCTTGACGTCACACAAGATCGTGAGTTCTTGAACCTTTTTCACCAACCCTAGTTTCCTCTTCTTCAAACTGGCTTTTCTTGCATTCTCATTGACGATCCATGCAAGTTTCACCTTTCTTTTACCCGTTGCAGGCCTCATGGTGATGGAACCCTCCCTCTTCCCCCAAATCTTTTTTTTTTTTTTTGCTTTTTGTTTTTTTTTTTTGTGTGTGAAGAAACAGTGAATGGTATGAGGGTATATATAGGGTTGGTGGGGGAGGAGATGAGGCGAATGTTTTTGGTAGTTTGAATCACAGAATATTAATTATGGAATGTTACAGTTTAGGAAATGCATGCAACACTCTTTTGACTTTGAAAGGTATGTATTTGTATATTTCTTTGCTTTTATGAAATTGCTAATATTTATCTCTGAATATATATATATTTTTATGTACATATTATATAAACGGCATCTGCATTAAATAGGTGTCTCTAAAAAGACATATAATACTCCATATAGAAACTTTATATGGTTCCCTAATACATGATTTTCTTCAAATGGTTGCTTTTTCTTTTTCGGAAAATAAAATTTATTGTCTTACTACTAAATACTCTGCATTTTTGGGATGTGTTTCGGATACATCAGATTCTATATAAAAAAGGAATGAAATCCTTAGATATTCAGAATTATTTACTCTAGACAAATAATTGGAATTAAATGGTTTACAAAATATATATATATATATATATTCAATTATTAGCAATTTCATTATGTAAACAATACAAAATATACATATTGATCTTGACGTTAATCGCATTAATTAAATGTAGTTCTCGCATTCAAATATATATACATATATATATAATGATATAATATATGGTGGTGGTGATGATGGTGATGGGTCTTGCTTAGGCCCGTTAGTGCAAACGAAATGGTGGGATGTTCCCAATCCAATAATTCATCTTTCAAGCCCATAGTAGAATCTTGAGCCCAATTAATTATAAATGTAGAATTTTTTATAGGGTTAATTCCAGAAAAATACCCCAAATTGGAATTTTTTTCCATAAAAATACCCTAATTAAAGATTTAACTAATTAATACCTCAATTTGAAAATAATTGCCAAATTCGTTCCCGACATATAACGATGTTAACTTTTCGTTAGTAACACCACGTCAACACACACTGGATGCCACGTTATTAAAAAATATTTTGTCATCAGACACGTAAACAAAAGAAATTCATTTAAATTGAAATTAGTTTTATAAAATCTTAAAATGGAATAAAAAAACCTAAACCTAAAAAATCCTTACCATATTCGATCTCATTTGCCTCCATTCTCTCTAACTCTCTCTTTCTCTTCGCCGATTGAACGGCGTGGCGACGTGGAGCTCTGTCGCATATCCAAATCTCACATCCGTCTCTCCTTCAGTCGAAGACGAAGTTTTAATTCAAAATGTAAGTTCTGAAACGTTTCAATATATTGTCAAAATCTAGGTTTTCTGGATATCGATTCTTTTTTTAGTTTTGTGTTGTTGGGTTCTAAGAAGATTGTTGACATATAGGATTTCTGATTATCGGTTCGACTTGGTTTTAGGTTGTTGAGTTTTAAGAAGGTATCGCAAACAGAAGTACAAACAAAGCCTATAGAGTCAACATCACTTGTTAAGGATAATATCGTTGATGATGGTTGTAATGAGAATGATGCTGGAGAAGATGAGGATAATATTGATGATGATGATGACGACGACGACGATGGTAATATTGGTGATGACGAAGATGAAGAGAATTTTGCAGATGAAGAAGGTTAATTAATGTGGAGGTTTGTTTTGAGAATGATAGAATTGATGATGATGATTTGTGTGCAGAGATTGAAATAAGCATGGCTAATGTGGCTAATGAAATTGAAAAAAGTAAAGATAACGATATCAGTGAAGAGGAATTTCAAGGTGATGATGAAACCTATCCGACAACACCTTTGAAGACAGATGAGGAATGGAAAGAATTTGAAGCTCCGTATCGGAGAAAACAAAATCAAGTGACAACCGGACAAAGTCAAACAAATGTGGAGAACCTTCTTTACTTGGGTCAGACATTCAAAACATGTGAAGATTTCAAAGAAGCAATGTTTGAATATGTTTTGAAGAGTCAATTTGATGTGAAATGGTCTAGGTGTGACCGGGGAGAACGTCCCAGATACGCTGCAGTTTGTCGCACAGGAGGTTGTCCATGGCGGATTTATTGTTCAGTGGAGAAACCCATAAATATGTGGATGATTAAAGTTTGTCATCCTCATCACAGTCACCCAGCTAATGGATACTCAGGGATGATTACAATGAGACATTTGGGTAAGATGTATGTAGAAGTTTTCAGGAATTTACCATCATACAAGGCTTCACAGATGGAACATGATTTGAAGGTTGGTTATAATCTCACGGTGTCGACATACAAATGTTTCAAGGCACGACAAATTGCGTTGCAGATAGTAAAGGAGGATCAGAGGGTTCAATTTGCAAAGCTTTGGGATTACGAGGCAGAGATTCGTCGATCCAATCCTAACACATCCACAGAAATAGTCCGTGCAACTTTTAAAGGTGAGAAAGTGTTCGATAGGTTTTATATTTGTTTTCAGGTTCTCCGCGACACTTGGAAACAATATTGTCGACCTGTTATTGGCTTGGATGGTTGCTTCCTTAAATGGGACTTGAAAGGGGAGTTATTGGCTGCGATTGGTAGAGATGCCAACGATCACATTTACCCAATTGCATGGGCTGTAGTACGGATTGAAGACAAAGACACATGGGCATGGTTCATCCGTAAGATAAAATCTGATTTAGGTCTTGGAGATGGACAGAATCTGACTCTTCTCTCCGACAAACAAAAGGTATGTAATGTGTTTTATATCAGACAATGATTTGAAATTTTACTACTTACTTTTAATTAGTTCTATATTTCTTAAACAGGGTTTGATAAATGCTGTGAAATACGAGCTTCCATGTGCTGAGCATCGTATGTGTGCACGACATATGTATGCAAATTGGAAGAAAAATTTCAAGGGTCCTGATTTGAAGGATATATTTTGGAAGACAGTATACAGTTACCATCAAGGTCAATATAAAAATGCTATGGAAGAAATGAAAACTATCAACCCATTAGCATATGGAGCAATGTTGCGTACAAATCCAGAGATTTGGTGTAGAGCTTTCTTTAATAAGGACTCGCATTGTGAGGATGTTCACAACAATCACTCCGAGAGTTTCAACAACTCCATAAAAGAAGCACGAAAGAAGCCAATGATTGACATGTTAGAAGATATCCGTAGACAAACAATGAAGCGAATTGCAAAGATGTCAAAGGTTTCAGGTAAATGTATCACTGAATTCACTCCAAGAACAATGATAGAATTGGAAAAAAGCAGAAACCAATCAAGGTTTTGTTTTGTAACGCCGAGTGGTCGCGGTATATATGAGGTAATGGAGTTTGGCATCAGTTACTCTGTTGATTTGAGTGGACATAGTTGCGCTTGTCGGAAATGGGATTTAACGGGCGTACCTTGTCAGCATAGCCTTGCTGTCATCAACTTTAAAAAAGACAAGCTTTCTGGGTAAGTAGAACGTCTATTGATTTGATCTCATTTTCACAGCATTTGTTTACTGATGTTTTTTTATTGATGTTTATAGTTATATTTCGGAGTATTTCTTGACTTCAAGATGGGTGGCTATGTATGAAAATAACATTTTACCGGTGAATGGTCAACCGTTGTGGCAAAAAGTTGACAAGCCTCTAATAGGTGTGCCGGATAAGAGAAAAATGCCGGGTCGACCTAAGAAACATAATCGAAAGAAGGACCCTCATGAGTCTCCGTCAAAGAGTGGAAAATTGTCAAAGCATGGAAGAGTGTTTACATGCGGGCGATGTAAACAAGTTGGACACACAAAAAAATCATGTAAAAATGATCCGGTAGATGCTCCATGCGGTCCTAAACGATTGAGAGGTAGACCCAAGATATCGGTGACAGTCTCAGGTACCTCACATACTGCACAGAATATTACTATTGGTATGGAATTTTGATTATTTCATTATGTCACTTTATTTACATGTGTTTTTTTATTCGTTTGATGTGTATTTGTTATAAGGTACATCGAACCCGACTCAATCGAGCCAAAACTCGGTTTCCCACCTGTGTCTCATTCCTCGCAACACCAATAGTTCTCGTCCCAGTCAAACTTATGTGTCTCCATTCACCAGTAGACCGTTCAAGGCTCCTCGACGTCAACCCACTTCGAGTCTTCCAAATTAAAGTGACTGAGCATTATACCAATTTTTTGAAATTTTTTTATTAGGCCTTTTTGTCCGGATATCTTTCTATTAGGGCATTTTTCTTTCGGATATCTTTGTATTTGATCATCTATTACAGTTATTGGTATTTTTTTAATCTTGTTTTACCATATGAATGAATACATCGTTATTTATCTATATGACATGTGACATCGTTTATCAATTTGAAACATATTATAAATTTGGATATCAATTTGGGAGATATTTACAAAATTGGATATATTTAGATGAAATTTGTAATTTGGGTATATATTTGAAAAAAACTAAACATTAAAATAATTTATTTAAATTAATTGAATCTGATGTGGCATCCAGATGTCAGTTGATGTGGCGTCACTAACGGAAAGTTAACACCGTGATATGTCGGGAATGAATTTGGCAATTATTTTCAAATTAAGGTATTAATTAGTTAAATCTTTAATTGGGGTATTTTTATGGAAAAAAATTTCAATTTGGGGTATTTTTCTGGAATTAACCCTTTTTTATAATAATATTATTCCGACTGATTTAGGGCACATCTTTGTGTAACTTTTTTTTAAATGAAATTAATTATACTTTATTATTCGGAAACGAATATGGCACTATTCTTTTATCGTTTCATTGATTTTTTTCCCATCCACATTTTTTTTTCATTTAGTAAATTGTTCACTATTGTTAAATGACAATTGCCGTTGTTTTTTTATTTGAATGATATAAATTTTCATATTTTTAGATTTTATAAAATAAAAAACATCTTGAATAATTTGTATTAATATTTAAATAATTATTTATAATTATGGAATAATATCGAAATATCTCAGTATTTGTGTCTCCAACAAGTATTTTTATATGAATAACATAATTTGAAGTAATCTTGTAAGAAGTAATAGCGAGTTTATGAAAGGATATTTTCATTAATAAAATGAACTAAAGAATTTCAATCTAATATACAAATCACTATCCACTACCATAAAAAAGAACACGAGTTTTTTGTACAATACAGACATATAATATATAAATTCATCGCATAGATTATATTTCGCAAACATATTAATATTTTTATTCGTTAATATGGACGATTAAATATGTAAAATTCAATTTTAATATTAGGATTCACTAGCATTTTACACCTTAAACAATAAAATAATTAATTAATTTAAAAATATCTATATTTAGTAAACCAAGATTGAGATTGGATTTATCTTACCTCTTCCGATGATTTTTTTTTT